GGCCGGGCCCGGGCTGTGCCGCAGCCCCGTTCCGCCGGGGCCCTTTGGATCTCATTTCTGCTCCGCAGGGGAGATGCCGCCATGGTCGATGTCGCCGCCGCTCTGGACACGGAGTCGGCCAACGGGAAGGACGCGCTGGTACGTGGCCGCGGGCGGCCGGGGCTGGGGCCGGGGCCGGCGGAGGCTGCAGCCTCCTGGGGGGGCCCTGCCCGCCGGCCTCCCCTCCTGGGGGTGCCTGTAGGTTGAGGTTGAGGCTTATCCTTGGGCCACCTCTTCATCACGCTGTAGCCCTCTTCCTTCAGCCGTTGGTTTGTTTTCTTGTTTGTTTGTTTGTTTGTTTGTTTGTTTTTCCCTCGCCACCAGCACCTTTTCCCAAAGGATTCTTACCTGGTAGCCATGCACAGGTGACAGGAGATGCAAAGGTGTAAGGCAGCCGCAGGTTGCACGTAGCCTAGAAAAAGGGCGAGTATAGAGTATTTTTTTCAGGAGATAAAATGTTTCTATTTAACAAGTAGATGTCTGGCCTTGCTGGATGTGTCAGGACTAAGAAGCATCCTCAGTTTTCCAAGATTACTAAGTCAGGGGTAAGACAAAGATCTAGAAGGTAAGAAGGTAGTTAGTTATTCAAAAACCAAAATCTGAACATGTTCCTGTGGCTCAGATGAGGACTTTCCATCCTGCTAGTTCTAATTTTAGTTCCTTGAAGAAATACATTGGAAGTTAAATCCTCACCTGTCTGACTAGTTCTAACTGAATCTACAGAATTGTTCCAGCTCACTCAGCATGGCTGTGTGTTAGGGGGGAAAGAAAAAAATGTATTCCCTCTAAATTCACTTCTCTCGACAGGTTGCTGCCCAAAGCTTCTTTCCTGTCTGGTTCAGTCAGTCTTTAAGCCAGTCCCAAGTTTGCTGCTCTGCTCTGGTTGTAGGAAGCTGCCGGGGACGGCTCTGAAGTCCTGGATGCTCAGGCAGGCTCAGTGGATGAGGAGAACGGACGGCAGCTCGGGGAGATCGAGCTGCAGTGTGGGATTTGCACCAAGTGGTTCACGGCAGACACCTTCGGCATCGATACCACGTGCGTAAGCTCTGCTTAACGGTGGGCCTCAGACTTTGCTTAGCAAAAAAGAATTTGGAGTGTAAATTCTCAAGAGCCAGGACCCTGCCCAGGTCCCTGGGCACTAGGAAACCAGCAAGTTCTGTGACTAACAGCAGCTTTACCCAGCACAGCAAAAAGTGTTTGTGTTTGTACCTTGTGGCTTTAAAAATAATCTTTGTCCCGACCTCAGGACTGTCAGAGCCACCCTTGGACTTCGTGCCTTAGGGGCCCATAAATGTTATTTGAAAAGCAGAGGGCTTCAACAGACACTTTCAATTGGTGTGAACAAAAAATCTTCTTGTAAGTGAAAAGAAAATTCAGCTTTCTTTCCAGAACCTATGCGGTACTGACCTTAGACTTATTAAAAACTGAACATTTTTGGTAATATTTTGTCTCTAACAACTACTGTTGACTTCCCATTAAAATAATTGACTCAGATGGAACTCCTTGTCCAGATGTTTTGTGTTGTTGTCTCTTATTTTGCTGGATGAATTTCAGGACTTCAAACCAAGATGATGACACTTGCTTGCTCACATTTTTCTTAAGAGCTTTGTGGCTTTTCTTGCTGCCCAGGGTAAATCTAATTTGATGAAAATACCATTGAACCTGTGAAGATGTTTCTGGGTTTGGAAAGAGACAGAATAATTAGTTTCTTGGCCTGGAATAATTAATTTCTTAACCCAATCTAGTAAAGAATAATTCATTTTACCCTGACGTAGTGAGGTGTGCACCAGCACTTACAAATGGACGTGCTCTTTTCCAGATCCTGTCTGCCTTTCATGACCAACTACAGCTTCCACTGCAACGTTTGCCATCACAGTGGGAACACGTATTTCTTAAGAAAACAAGCGAGTAAGCATGGAAGCACGTTTGTTGACATTTTGTGCAAGATAATTGTGGAGGCTTCGTTTTACCTGAAGTGGTGGGAGGGTTCTGCTGAAACTCTTGAAAAATGACCGAAAGAATCCCATATTGGCAAAAAGCACGTTCAGCTTGTTCTGAAAACGTTTTGATAGTTGGGTATAACTTATCAAGAGGGTGAAAATCTTCTGTTTGGTGAGAGCTGCTGAGTTTGGCCAGAACTTGTGAGGGTTTTGCTGTTGCCTGAGACAGTGTGGTGCTGTACTGTAACGGCGGCCTCCGTGGGCGTGTGTTTGTTTTTCAGATCTCAAGGAAATGTGCCTTAGCGCTCTGGCCAACTTAACGTGGCAGTCGAGGACACAAGATGAGCACCCGAAAACTATGTTCTCAAAAGATAAGGTATGGCTGTTGTGGAAATCCTCACGCGTTTACGTAAGCTAAGATTTCAGTGAAGGGCAAGTTCAAACAAATATTGGCAGCGAGGCTTTCGAGCTGCACTGTCGAGACTCAGTTTGATTTTATTTTTTTAGGACATTATCCCGTTTATTGATAAATACTGGGAGTGTATGACAACACGACAGAGACCTGGGAAAATGACTTGGCCTAATAATATTGTCAAAACTATGGTAAGTATTTGGAGTGGAATTTGTGGAGGATTTTCTGCGAACGGTACATTTGTGTTTGCTGAGGTCTGGACTTAGAGCCAAATGGTGAAGATTCTAATGTTTCTTACATAGTTGATACACCTGCTAATAGTAAATACTATGATTTAAACGCTTGTTAATGAACTTGTCACGATCTTACCTTCTGTAACTTAAACTCCTCCCCTGCCTCAGTGCAAGGAAAGGGATGTATTCTTGGTGAAAGAGCATCCAGACCCAGGGAGTAAAGACCCCGAAGAAGATTACCCCAAGTTTGGGCTTCTAGACCAAGTATGTAATTAGAGCTGGAGGTAAAGTGAGCTGTGGGGAGCTGAGAGGAGGGAGCGGGGCCTTTTTCCGGGTGCCTTTTGCTCAGTCACCCTAGCTGGGTCACACCAGAGCCTGTGCTGGGCTGAGCGAGGTGCTGGAGGCTCTGGTGCCCGCAGGTGCCGAGTTCAGGCTCCGAGTGGTGAGTCTGACCGAGTCTATACTGCAGATTCTTTTTATCTCTTTCAGGATCTTGCCAATATTGGTCCTGCGTATGACAACCAGAAACAGAACAATGCTGTATCCACCAGCGGGAACTTAAATGGCAAGTTCTTTAATCAGGTGGCTTGTGACTATTTGAGACTGGGCTTTGTTTTCCCAGCCCTGTAGCTGGGAGTCTGTGTGGTTCAATCAGATGAGATGCTGCAGTTAAGCTCAGCTCAGGACAGGTTTTATTGTGTTGACAACACATTCAGCCAGTCTCACTGTGCCTTTCTGTAGAGATGGATTAATTTTACTTCTTGTGAAGGTTCAGATTTTTCAGGACAGCCAGCTAACTCAGGATATTTGGAAGAAAGCTGAGCTTGTTGGTTTTCTTCCATAATGATTTTAATTTACCTACTTGTATTATTCAGATTTCCTCTTTCCGTCACTCTGAGATTTGAAACAAGTTGAGGAAAGTATCTGTTTTACTTTATAATCACAGCTCGTGTGTGACTGCTGTTAGTTTTGTCGGGGTGACAGCTGTGCTGACGACTTCCCGTAGCTCCCCGAGATTCCTGATAGGAATCTTACTGGTAGTGATTTTACTGTCTCCCACTGGTAGTAACCTGAGTGGTAACATTAACTGCCGATGAGATTTCATGGTGTGTGAGGCTCCACGGCTGTTAAACACGTTCAGGTAGTACCTGACGGGAGGTGTTGGGGGCTTCTTAGAACAGAGCTGTGGATACCCACAGCTGCCTTGTCTCCATTTTATGCACTGGTTGTTTTTTGTTTAATTTCTGGAAGATTTGACAAATATGTGGTGCCACTTCTGTTCTTACAGGTGGAGCCTCTTTGGGAGGTGAATATTTACCTTTCAGCTTCTAAAACTTAAGTATTATTGTTTGCAAAGCTTTCTTGCTCAGTTCTCTTAGAAGCTAAAGTCAATTAAAACCCCAAAGTGTGCCCTGGTGTGATTGCAATTAATACTTCAGTACAAAACAACTATTCCACTTTTTAATCTTTAGCAGTTAGAAGCTTTTAAATATCATATTCTGCCCCACTTGACTGGTTTAAAGTTTTATTTTCACTTATGTACATGCATCACTTTGTCTGATTTGACCTGATGCTGTTGCAGTTTTAATGCCTAAATAAGTGGTCTGAGTCTGCGAGCTGATACGATGTTGTGATTTTGGGTTTTTTTTTAGGCAAGTAAGTGATGACAAACTGGAGAGCTTAAACACTTACCTGCACTGAAACTCAGTGCAGCTGAGATCATGTCATGTTTGTGCAGAATATGGTATTCCTTCGGTGGTTTTACACCGTAAGGGAATGCTGATCATTTAAAAGCTGACTGTTTCTAGTTCTGACACAGTGTGCAGGTCGTAAAGGTGTTTATCTGCAGTACTTAAAAATTCTGTAGTTATCTCTGTAAATCAACAGTGATCTTTTCTGAAATAGTGTAATGATGATTACTAAGTGCCTATACAGTTTAATGTTTGAAAATGTTACACTGATCTAGTCTGATTACATTTGACATGTAACTTTACCTACACTCCAGTTATATTTATGAGTAAAAACTGGGTGCTGTAATACGGAACAGCTCAGTCCTAGCACTGGTTTTGGTAATGCTGAAGAGAAACACCTCCCTTGCTTTTAATTTTTCCTCAACTTAGGTGTATTGTTTTTATTTTATAGATGGAAATTAATGTTATATGCTTCTTGCTTATTGCTGTCAGAGTGTTTCTCCAGCAGAGCGTGTCACTGGGATAGCGACTTTGCTTCAGATCAGCTGGTGTGTGCTGTAGGTTGGGTTTTCTGCTGCTTTTGCAGAAATAAATTTGAACTGTGACTGGAATCTCCATGAAAGCAAACAGTCGTGCTTTTGAAGTGGATCCCCACGCTGCTGCCTGTAGATCTGATGACAGAAAAGATTCTTAATTCTCACCTTAATAGCTTGAGTTGAGCTCATTTTATTGATAAATCTCACTTAGCTCCCGCTCTAAATCCAGACGTTTCAGAAGTTGAGTAGCAGCTATGCGAGGTCTGGATTTTGCTCCGCCCGCTCCCAGTAAAGTGTCTCATGTGTCACTGTGCAGGAAGGTACCGGAGCTCATGAACTGGTTTGATTTGGTTGCTCCTGCCCCTTCCTGCTGTGGAGATTCCGTGCTCACGGGCTCTCTCCGCTCACCAGCCGCCTCACACGCCGCTGTCTCTGCGCAGGGGGGATCGCGGCCAGCGGCAGCGGGAAGGGCCGGGGGGCGAAGCGCAAGCAGCAGGACGGAGGGACCACAGGCACGGCCAAGAAAACCAGAAGGTACGAGGAAAGGTGCGGTGGGGGCTCCGCGGGGCGCGGCCCTGCTTGGCTTCTGATGCCTCCAGCGGCCACACGCCTTTGCCCTTGGTAGATCTGTGCGGAGTCGTGCCCGCGTAGAACCGCGTGGTGTTGCTGGTAGGTCACGTGCTAGAAATACCTAGAAATAGGTGGGGGTGTGGTGGTTGTAGTGAGGAGCCCACGCCCCCTTCGCTCAGGAGCGGAGCGCGGTGGGGTCCTGGGCTCCGCAGGAGGCTGTCCTGGGTCTGGGGTATCCTGCGACTGAGCCGTAGCCACCGGGAGGTGCCAACCTGTAGTTTTTGTGTTTCACAGCGACCCGTTGTTTTCCGCCCAGCGTTTGCCCCCCCACGGGTACCCCTTGGAGCACCCCTTTAACAAAGATGGATACCGCTACATCCTGGCCGAGCCCGACCCCCACGCGCCCGACCCGGAGAAACTGGAGCTGGATTGTTGGGCAGGAAAACCAATCCCCGGGGACCTCTACAGAGCCTGCCTGTACGAGCGGGTGCTCCTGGCGCTGCACGACCGAGGTAGGGCACGGGCAGCTACTCCTGCGAGGGGCGTCCTCGGGAGCCCCCAGCTCCCGGCATGGGCACGTCACGGCTCAGGAGGCGGGAATGCTCAACCCCCCCGGGGTTCACTTGCCCTCCGACACGGCCATGTGCTGGAGGTGGCAAAAGAACTGCTCATGCCAACTTCTGCTGTCGCCGCAGCTCCGCAGTTGAAGATCTCTGACGACAGACTGACGGTGGTCGGCGAGAAGGGCTACTCCATGGTCCGAGCCTCGCACGGGGTGCGCAAAGGAGCCTGGTACTTTGAAATATCCATGGATGAGATGCCTCCAGACACAGCTGCCAGATTAGGCTGGTCACAGCCATTAGGTAAATAACTTCACTAAATATTTCTTAGCAGTGGATTCCAGCCGGTTCTGTATTTCTTACCCCAGCAATTTAGACCTGAGGAGGGTCAGTCATGCTCAGCTTGACTTCGCTGCTTTTCCTGAGGGGAAGCCCTTCCTGAAGGGGATCTCAGCCCTGCAGAACTGCCCTACGGGTGGATCCTTTATGCTATTGCACTCTTGGCCTCGCTGTGGTCAACACATTTGTACTAACAGCAGTTTTATTTGTTAACTGCATGGAATTTCTGTTCCAAACCGTGAAGCGGGACAGGCAGGGCTGCTCCTGCTCCGCTCCGTGTTCATGAAGAAACGTTGGTCTCTGCAGGGAACCTCCAGGCACCCCTGGGATATGACAAGTTCAGTTACTCCTGGCGCAGCAAAAAGGGAACAAAGTTTCACCAGTCGATAGGGAAACACTATTCATCTGGCTACGGGCAGGGTGACATTCTGGGATTTTACATCAGTCTGCCAGAAGATACCGAGACTGCCAAATCCCTGCCCGACACTTACAAAGATAAGGTGAGGTGTGGAGTCCAGGGTCGGGTTAAGCGTTGGCTGGGTGGTGAGTGGAAGACAGGTTGCTGTAGCCTCAACTCTGCCCCCTTTGGGCGCATCCTTCCCATCCTACCTCCGGGCACCACTGCTGCTCACCGTGGTCCAAAGTGTGGATCTTGCTGATCTCAGGAAAACAAAACACCCAGGACCCCCCCAGGGGTTCTGCAGGGGAAGGCTCTGCCTGGGTTGCTGAGCGAGGTCGCCCCCATCTCATTTCATCTTCTCTTCCCCTCCTGGTTCTCAAATAGTTGAGGTGTGTGAATCGCTCTGCACGGGGGCTCTGACATGACAGGCCCCCCCTGTCCCAGCACAGGGCTCCCCTAGGCCTCCTGCTCTCTAGTCTGTCACCTAAAGGTAACTTTGGCTTGTTTCTGAAGTGGCTGTTTTCTGATATTCCAGGCTCTGATCAAATTCAAAAGCTACCTGTACTTTGAAGAGAAGGACTTTGTGGACAAAGCAGAGAAGAGCCTAAAGCAAGCACCTGGGAGCCAGGTGAGTTAAGTGGTGGTAGGCAGAGGATGCAGAGCTTAGGAGGAGTGGAGAGCCTGCTGAGACCAGCTTATTGTGTGTATTAATTGCTTTCATTTAATGAGCAGAGAGGGAGGCCAATCATTACTTCCTCATCAAAACCAGGAATGCTTTTATTAAAGCAGTAAATATGAAGTTAACAGACCAGCTGTGCCCTTCGCTTGTAACGTTGTTGCTGGCACCAAACTAGTGGTCTGGCGTCGGGGAAGGGGCAGTGCAGGCTGAGCCCCCTCGAGGGTCACTGCGTCACCCACAATAAGGTCACGAATGTGTTGGCATCAGTGGAAGAAACCTCTTCACTTTTTCTCTCAGATAATATTCTTCAAGAACGGTGCCAGCCAAGGAATTGCCTTTAAAGACATCTTTGAAGGGGTTTATTTTCCTGCTATCTCTTTGTACAAAGGCTGCACGGTGAGTAACGTGGCTATGAAAGGTGGTTCCTAAGTCTGTCGTGGTTTTAGTAACGGGGGGAGTGTGTCCAGGAGGGGAAGGTGGGAGTTCCTTCAGTGAAGCGACTCTGGGCCAAGGCTGCTGGGTGATGGGACGTTATCAAACCCTGCCCGGGATGTTCCGTGGGCTCGCAGGGGGCGTGGGCAGGCTCAGGAGCAGGAGGGGGCGAGGGCCTAGACTAAAGCAGTTGGCCTGGTTTTCCTGCTCTCATGACAACCCTACCTTCCACAGGTTTCTATAAACTTTGGGCCGTATTTCAAGTATCCACCCAGAGATATCACTTACCGTCCGGTGAGTAAGAACTGAAGCTTCTCCCCCCACCCCCTTTAAGTGTTTAAACCAAAGGTGGTGGGTTTTGATTTATACCAAGGCTCTATCCATCCACTTCAGGCTTTGGACTCGGACTGCATTCAAAATTATTTAAGGACAGATAGCCTAACAAATACCATAGCTAAATTTTAACCTGTCTCGTTCCTGTTGACAGATGAAGTCCCTGTTCTTGCCTGGTTTAGCCTCTTTTATCAGTAAGAGGCTGAATTCTGGTTTAAGGGAACACTTGGAAGTTCCCCCCCTGCCCCCCGTGTTTTGAGGAGGGAAGCAGTCCTGGCCCCTGGAACAGGGCCTGTCCCTCCTGGTCCTGAGCCTGTCCCCTCCTCCTTTCCCGCAGATGAGTGACATGGGCTGGGGGGCGGTGGTGGAGCACACGCTGGCTGACGTGCTCTACCACGTGGAGACGGAGGTGGACGGGCGGCGCAGCCCCCCCTGGGAGCCCTGAGGGACCAGCCGCAGCCCCAGCCACGGCCCGGGGGTTTTATTCTCAAGGAACACGCACCCCTCGGAGCAAGCACCGACCAGCGGACACCCCCAAGCCGAGGCTGCTCCTGGGGGCGGGTGTCCCAGGGCCTTGCTGCCTTGTGTCCCCCCCACCGGGTGGGTGCTGTGCTGGTCCTGGGCATCTCTCCCAGCCCTCAGTGACCTCCCCCCCCCGGTGTCCCGGCCGCTGCTGCCCCCATCCCTTGGCAGCTGGCGCGGGCTGGACCTGCCCCTGCCTGCTGTGCCTACATGGGGTACAGCAGCACCCCACTTCTGCTCAGCTGGGGGGGGCTGACTGTACCCCCCAGCTCCCAGCCCAGGAAGGGTGTCATTACAAGACTACTGCATGGAAGACTGAAATTTGGGCTTCTGTCCAAACCGTTTTTTTTTTTTTACACCACAACCCCCCACACCCCCCAACTGGAAGCCAGTTTAAAAATAAAGGCTTTAACTCTTCTCTTTGTGTGGTTTTTTTTCTCTTTTATCTTGTGACAAAGGAGATTTAAACTCAAAGTAGCTACACTGTAGAGATCTCTCAAGCTGATGCTCTCCTTGACAGGTTGTACATGATCATCACTGCAGAGCTTTGAGTCAATAAATAGTTTGACACGTTGTATGTGGCTGTACAGGAAAAATAAATTAGAGCTGCTTCACTGGGTGGGGGGAGAAGGGAGTAAAACGTGTGTTTTGAGGGGAGGAGCTGAGCATGTGCTGGTCCTCCTGCCTCCCTTGTTAGCCACAGGAGACACCACTACATAAAGGTTGCTTTAGTCATTGAAACTAATTGGTCAGGGTGGGTGCAGGGACCTGGCTGAGGCAGCACCTGCTCCGTGGGGCCAGGGCAGGGTGGGCTGACTTCATCCCGCCGAGTTCTGGTCCTGCATTTGCACAGTGAGCAGGTGCTGACTGAGTTGGGTCCCTAATTCAGTTGGTTTCAATAAATAAAGGTTGGTTTATTTATCGATTGAAACTCAATTAGTGGTGTCTACTCTTACAGCCTGTGCTAATTAACCAAGGTCTTGTTAATTAACGTGCTTCTGCCTGTTACACCCCTCAGGGGGGGCAGCAGGTGGCGGCTGGGCCAGGCGCTGCCGGAGGTGGTTGGCGAAGTCGACCTGGGTCTGGGCCAGGACCTGGTTGACGACGGTCTTGGGCAGCCAACCCTGCGGAGAGGAGAGGAGAGAGCCCGGGCTGCACCTCCCGCCTGGACTGAGCTGCAGGCTGGACTGAGCTGCAGGCCTGACTTACCTTCAGGTCGATGCTGAGGAGCCAGGTGAGCCTGGTGTGCGAGGGGCTGCCGGGCAGCGGGCGCAGGAGCATGCAGGTGGGGCCGTTCTCGGCTCTGCAAGGGGACAGGAGCCCCCCTCAGAGACGCATCTCACCTGCGCCCCCAGGCCAGCGTGGGAATCCTGACACCACCCCCCCGGACCCCCTCAAGTGCCTGCCAAAGGCGCCTGCTCACCTGACCACCCCCTCCTGCTCCGGCATCGCCCCGTGCGTTGTGGCCACGCCGGCCAGGACGCAGGTGGAGCCGCGTCTCTTGGAGCACCTCACGCTCACGAAGTCCCGTGGCCCCACGACGTTGCCGGGGGTAGCGGCTGCCTTCTCGTGGGTGATCACTGTGTCCTTCCCAATCTTCTGGAGAATCTGCAGAGTTCAGAATTAAAAACATTAATTTGAAGCATCTGCTGCAAAGATGGCTGACAGCTCACGTGTTGAAATGCAAAACCTCAGCGTTTATTGGGAGAAAAACTGCAAATATCTGCTTCATCCCAGAATGTAGAATGTTACTTTTCAACATCTGCAAAGGGAAGATATTTCTCTCAATGCTTCTCTTATGCCAGAGAAGCTGTGAAATAGCAAAACGCTCGTCCCTGCCCGTTGGGGCACTGTGCTGTTCCTCCTGCAGTAACTGGACGGGTGACAGCGGCGCCGTAACGCAGGAGCACATCACCTGCAGAGCAGCAGCTGCAGCACAGAGGAAGCAGCCAAGAGAAAGTCTGGCTTCTCCCTTCCTTAAAAATGTGGAGCAATCCCTGTGCTCCCGCTGGGATGGGCAGAGCGATTCCTCAGCCCTCCCGGGGCAGCCCCCGGGTGTGAGCCCCGGCGCTGGGCTCTGGCAGCTGCTTCCCACCTTGACTTGCTGGACACTGGGATTCCAGTCCCCCATCTGCTCCATGTTGTCCACCAGCTCGCCGTACACCGCGGCCAGCGGCTGCTCCACCACCACCTCCAGCCGGAACACCTTGCCCACGTCTGGCAGCACTTTGCTCAGGACTCTGTCCCCGTTACCCTGGCGAGGGGGGCACAGAATCAACACCAAGGCCACGTGCGGGAGGAGCGCGTCAGGCTGTCGCCAAGCAGAGCCCCTACCAGCACTGTCTCTGTCTTCCAGCCGTCCTGGTCCCCCAGGATGCTGAGCGACTTCTGGAGGGCTTCCTCTCCTTGCCTGATGTAAGACATCTCCACCTCACTGAAGAGCTGCTCCTCCAGCCTCGAGCCTGCGCGGGATCGGACAGAAGCAGGAGTGTAAGGACACTGCGCCGCTGACGCATGCACCCTCGCGCCAGATGAGCTTTATCTACATCAAATAAATACACTTCTCCGTGCCCGGGGGCTGGAGAAGGAAACTCAATTCCCGCTGCTTGCCTGCCTTCGCCCTTTGTTTGGCAAACGCCCAGGCTCCCTGTGAGCAGCTTTTCCTCCAAGCCCTCCCCCGAGCCCTGACGGTCGCCCCCCCTCAGGAGGGGGCAGAGCCCCGTCCGCTGGTCACTTACTGAGCAAGGAGCTTCTCCTGCGAACCTGGCTGACCCAGGCGCTGGGCCCCGCGCCGCGGCAGGCCAGCTTGCTCAGCTCCTGGCTGATGGCAACGGCAGCTTGTCTTCTCAGACCTGAGAGCAGAGAGCGCATCACCCGCCAGCACCGCACCACAGAGGGCTGGCTAATGTATTTTATTTTTTTTCCAATTTAAACATAACGACACTGAAAAAGTCTCTGCTTGCTGCCTCAGCTGGAGTCCCCACAGGCGCAGAGAGCAGGTGACTGCCCCAGCGCTGCTCTGGGACAGAAACAGTCCTACACAAACCCGGGCTTTGCTCCAGGTCTAAGCCACGCAGCGTGCTGGGAGCAGATGAGTCGTGAAAATACCGAGGAGCAATCACGGGGATGCTCGGAAAAGGCTGTAGGAAATGGAGTACAAGAACACAAAACCCTTACAGCCAGCGGGAGCATTACCTGCAGCGACCCTCCGCTCCCCCCCAGACCCCGGCAATAGTCCTGGCAGCAAAAAGGGCGACGGAGACAAAACACAAACCCCAGAAAGCGCCATGGGATGGGATGGGGAGGGGCGAACCCAGAGCCTCAAGCCCCCTCCCACTGCAGACAGCCCATGCAGAGGGGCTCCCCCGGCCCCCCAGCCCCTCACCGGTCATGTTGCGCAGGTTCTGGTAGGAAATGGCAGCACAGAGCTTGAAGGTGGCGGGAAGCATCTCCCTGGGCTGGAGCGAGCTGCGGGCTGCGGGCGGGTGTCTGCGACGAGCGGGTGCCTCTGCCCCGGCCCTCCGGGCTCTCAGCCTTAAGTACGCCGGCTGAAGGATGCTGGCTTGTCAGCAGGGAGATAAGAGCCATCACTTACGACAGGGCCCGGAGGGCCAAGGCCAGCCCCGGCTCCTCACGCATCTGCCGGGGCCACGGGTCGTGTCCGGCGAGCGGCCGCGCGCACATGGGCTGACACGTGCTGGTGCTCGGCACTGGCGCGGTGGGGTCCAGCCAGCCCCGGGGTCCTGGCAGAGGCACGGCCACCCTGCCCCGCTCACACGGTGCTTTGTGGGAGATCCCCGGGCCAGGGATAATCCACGAGGACCTGCTCCATCATCACCTGCGGATCACGGGGGATAACAATCAGTTCTGACAGCCAACGGCAGATAACAACGGATAACAACAACGGATAACAACAACGGATAACAACAACGGATAACAATGACAGATAACAACAAGGGATAACGAGGGACAACGCCGTCTCACAGCACAACCATCCCAGAATAACCAGAGCCAGGCTCAGCCCAACCCCAGCTGAGGCTGGACACAAGAACCAGGGGACCGCGCCCCACCACAGTGGCACATTGAAGCCCCAGTGCACGAGCCCAAACCCCGTGAGGGTGGGGGGACCGGGGGACACCTGGGATGGCCGTGCATGGCTGGGCAGCACTGGGGATGCTTTGTGGCACGGACACAAGTATTTTGGAGGGTGCACAGCCCTCCCCCTTGCCCCACAGAGCCCCGTGCAAGCGCAGCCCGTCTTCATCCTCCATAAAGCTGAATATTAAGATTATGAAAGCTGCGGAACCTGGGCCTGGAGCACAGAGCAGCCCCCGTACCTCCCCCAGAGGCTGGTTTATCTGCCGCGGGGCTGGGAGCGGTGGGTGATGGCAGAGGAGCGATAACACTCAAGGATGAAATGACATTTCTGGGATGAGTTACGGCCCCAGAGACCAGCGCTCCCAAGAACCCGTGAATCACCAGCTGCTTCCTTTGACGTCAGCCCCTGCACCCTCCTGCGGGGAACCTGACCTTCCTCCCCGCTGTTGCAACAACTTGGCCAAGGGGGAGGTCAACCGCTCGCTGCGCCAGCGGCCGGGCCCCGGGGAACCTCTCGTGTCCTCCAGCCTGCCCGTCGAGCCCCCCGGGATGAGTCGGGTCCTACCTGCCACCTGGGAATGGTCCCACTGTGCCCTGGGACAGCTCCTCTTCCTCGCTGGGTCTGCTGTTCACCACGTGCGAGAGAAGACACCTTGGCGATGTTGGTGGGGCCAGGAGGAAGCTAGAAGCTGCACTATCCCCTTCCCACAGGTTTATCAGGAAAACCCGGCCGCAGCCACGCTCCTGCTCGCCCACTGGTGCTGTGGCCCCGCACAGGAGCGATTCCAGGGTCCCTCCCGCAGCTCTCGCTCGGGCTGAGCTTCCTCCACCTGCCCCCCATGCACCTGCACACGGCGGGAGGAAAAATCAGGAGGGGTTGAAATCCCCGAACTGCTGCTGGGAACCCCCAGCATGGAGCTTGTGGGTCTGTGGTGCCTGGGGAAAGTGGGGGAGACCCTCCAGCACGGTGCGTCGCCCCCAGCCCCCCCCTGCCCCCCTGCCCTGCTGGTGAGGCGGCTGGAGCCCCCTGGCCGGGGGACACAGCACCGGGGAGACCCCCCAGCTGCGAACCAGCCAGGCCCGCGGTTATCCCAGAGGGAGCAGGCGCCGCCGGGCACAAGGCCTCGGCACAAGGACACGCCGTTGTGTGTGAGAAAACCAAAACAGCCCGGGCAGAACGGCTCCTCCAGCTCCGGGCTGGGGGGGCTGGAGGGGCACGAACCCCTCTGTGCCCCTCAGGAGGGGACACAGGGACAGCCAGTGCCCCGAGTGGCGCTGAAAGGCACCCAGAGCCCTCGGGGGGGGTCGGGTTGATGGGGACGCCCCCAGGACACTCACCGGCTCCTGACGGGACCTCGGCATCTCTCCGGACGTCGCTCGGGGTCCCGCTGTCACACGCTGCTGCGAGGGGAAGGGACGGCAGCAATCCTGCGGCACCGGGGACAGCACTGGGAATGGCACCAACACCGCGCAGTGCCACAGGCATTGGGGACGGGTTTCGGGTCCCAGCACCTACCTCGGGCACCGGGAAGGTGCCTCTGCACTGGGGCAGGAGGGGGCACGGCTGAACCCACGCGTGCTCCAGCACCGCTCGCCTGCCCAGGGCAGGATGAGGCCCCGACCCACCCG